GATTGAGAGCATCGCCCGCAGCATCTACGGCGCCGGGTGCGTGGAGTTTAGCCCCGAGGCGGCGGCGGCGCTGGAGCTGTACACGCGGCAGGGCTTTGGCGGCCTGCCCGTGTGCATGGCCAAGACGCAGTACAGCTTCTCGTGAGTGGTACCGCACGGTGGTGGCGCCGCGGCAGTAGTAATCAGCCCCTCGCTGCCTGCCCCCGTGATGTGTCGCCCCCTGGCCTCAGGGTGCCCACTCACACGCATCCACATGTCCACAGCTCCTGCTCACACACCTGGCCCCACCCGCACCCTGCCTGCCCCCGCAGCAACGACCCCGCCGCCAAGGGCGCCCCCAGCGGCTTTACCTTCAAGGTGCGGGAGGTGCGGGTGGCGGCGGGCGCGGGCTGGCTCATCGCGGTGTGCGGCGACATGATGATGATCCCGGGGCTGCCCACCCGCCCCGCCTTCTACGAGATAGACATCGACCCAGACACAGGGCGGGTGGTGGGGCTGTCCTGAGAGCCGGCGCAGCACCGGGAGCCGGGCCCCAGCCGCCCGGGCTGGCAGGACCCCAAGCAGCAAAGCTTACATCACGTGTGCTCATGGGGAGCACTCGCCATTGATGCTTGTGTGGAAAACTGATTGATTTTATCACCGATTTTGCTCTATTCAAGCTTGAACAAAGTAAGCGAACAAAAACAACTGGCAGTTTGAACGGCAAGGGGTGCAACGGCACAGCAAAGCAACATCAACAGCGCTCAACAACACACGGGCAGCCGCCAGCACGCCCACAACAAATTCAGCTGGCAGCAAGCAGCATTAACGGCCTCTTCAACAAAGCTAGTGCAGGAGGCTGCAGGAGAGTGGATGGGTGGAAGCAGGTAGCCGGCCTCCGCCGTGCCAGCCAACCACCCTCCCGGGGCTACCAGGTGACCACCCGCCCGCAGCTACTTCTCCGCATCCAGCGCTCGCCTGTAGTCCCCCACCGCACGCTCGTACTGCCCCAGGGCGTCGAAGCAGGAGGCGCGGTTGTAGAAGGCCACAGCGTTGGTGGGGTCGAGGCGGATGCAGGCGGTGAAGTCGTCGACCGCCGCCGCGTGGCTGCCGCGCTTCTCGTGGCTGATGCCGCGATTGAAGAAAGCGTGCACGTTTTCGGGGTCCAGCTGCGGTGGGAGGGAGGGGAGGGAGGGCAGCGGGGAAAAGGCCAGACGTTGGTTGGCTGCGGCAGGGGCCCCGCCCAGGGGTTGGCAGGTGAAGCAGGCGGGGGCGAGGTACCCGCTCGCCTTCTTCGCTCACCGGACCCTCCGCCTGGCACCCCCGCCACAACACCGTCCACCCACCCCCGCCCACCTGTATCGCCTCCGAGTAGTCAGCCACTGCCTGGGCGTAGTTTCCAAGGGAGGCGTGGCAGTAGGCGCGGCTGTTGAAGTTGCGCACGGTGGCGTGGCCCAGCGCAATCAGGCGCCCATAGTCCTCGGCTGCCGCCGCGAAGCTGCCCGCCTTGCGCAGGCAGAACCTGGGGCAGGCAGGCAGCCACGGGCAGCAGGCTCAGCAGGGGCGGGCAGGGTGGATGCAAGGGAATGGAGCAGGGCGGGTCGGCAGCTGCGGTACGGCCGCAGGCAATGCAGTGCGGCCCAGCGCAGCGGCCCGGCCCGCCCGACTGTCACTTCTCACCCGCGCGCTTGCAGCGCCGCCTCGTCGTCCGCCTGCAGCTGCAGCACCCTGCCCAGCACCCCGACCGCCTGCTCGTGCCGCCCGCAGTTGCGCAGGGCCAGGCCCAGGCTGCGCAGGTAGGCGGGATGGGCGGGGTCCAGCTCGCATGCCCTGCAGGCAGGAGGGGAGCGCGGGGCAAGGCCGGGGTGTTGGATCACAGCTCGATGGAGCGGCCCCGCTGCCAACCAGGGCTATTGCTGTCTGCTGTCAACTCCACACTCTGGCGCCCTAGCCAGCCAGATCTACCCCCCCCGCCCCCGCACCCCACCCCACCATCCGCACCTCTGCAGGTCTGCCAGCGCCGCCTGCACCTGTCCCAGGCGCTCCAGCACCTCGCCCCGCGCGTGCCAGGACGCCGCCGCGCCACTGTCCAGCCGCAGCGCGGCATCCAGGTCTGCCCGCGCCTCGCCCAGCCGCCCCAGCCGCAGCCACACCGTGCCGCGGTTCTGCAGGGCGGGGGCGTTGCGCGGGTCCAGCCGCAGCACCAGGCTGTAGTCTGCTGCGGCATCCTGGTAGCGGCGCAGGCGCTCCAGCGCCACGGCGCGGTTGTAGTACGCCTTGGTGTGGGCGGGGTTGAACTGCAGCAGGGGGAGGGGTTAGGGTGGCGCTGCTGGTGGTGAGGATGGCGGGTGTGTATATCGTGTGTGATGGCGGGATACCGCGGGAAGCCAGGGAATGGTCGTGCTGGTTTTGGGCGCTGCATGGATGGCGCAAGGTATCTGGTTCTCCCCCACCCTGCCCTACTCCACTCTACCAGGCAGGCAGGCAGGCAGGCAGCCCCGCACCTGCACCGCGCGGGTGTAGTCTGCCACTGCATCCTCGTACCGCTCCATCTTGCGGTACGAAAAGCCGCGGTTCTGCACCAGGGCCAGCGCAGACCAGCCAGGCAGCCATCAGCTCTTGGAGGGGGCTGGCCTTGTCGCAAAGGTGAGGTGGGGATGCACTGTGCCTCTCTGCTGGCCCTAGCCCAGGCGTCTCGAGTGGGGGGGAGGCTGAGCTGTTGCTGGCTGGCGACAGCTGGCCACGCGCGCCAGATGCGCGCACACCTCCCCACCCAGCCCCTCACATGGTAGAAGTCGGCGTTGCGGGGCTCCAGCGCAATGGCGGCGGAGAAGGCGGCCACGGCGGCGGCGTACTGCCCCAGCCTGTCCCGCACGATGCCAGCGTTGTAGTGCGCGTAGCTGCTGCCCGGCTCCAGGCCCAGGGCTGCCTCGTAGTCCCGCAGCGCCGCGTCGTACCGCCCCAGCTGCGGCAGCGCAGGGGCAGGGTAACCTGGGAGCCCCGGAGAGGCTGAAACTCCCGCTTCCAGCATCACCAGCCCAGCAGTCACCGTGCCCTCCCAAACAACCAACACACACGCACACACACTCTCTCTCTCCGCGCACCCTACCGCTGCTCACCTTGTCCAGGGAGAAGGCTCGGTTGAAGAGGCACTTGAAGTGCGCCGGGTCCAGCGCCAGCGCCGCGCTGTACTCGCGTACCGCACCCTCAAAGTCGCCCTCCTTGCGCAGCGCATACCCTCGCGCGTGGTGCTCGTCCGCCGTCGGCCCCTGCTGCCCCTGCTGCGCCGGCCGCTGCTGGGCGGCGGGGGCGGCGGGCTGGCTGCCGCTGCTGCTGCCGCCACGCAGCGGCGAGGCGACCTCAAGCGGCACCGAGCTGCAGCCGGCGTCCTGCAGGCTGATGCTGGCCAGGCGGGTGTGCACCGAGGGCAGCCAGCTGGAGGGGTCGTCGCCATCCGCAGGCTGCCCGGGCGCCACTGCGGCGTCGCCGGGCTGCTGCTGCTGCGCCCGCTGCGTGGCGTCCACGCCAATCGCCACCTGCACACGTCCAGGCCCCTCCTGCTGAGGTTGCTGCTGCTCCTTTGAGCCAGGCCCGCCTGCTGCTCCCTGGCCCGCTGCGGAGGCTGCTACCTGCTGCTTGGCAGCGAGCACTGCCGGCCCCCGCGCTGCGCCACTGCCAGGCTGTGCCGCTGCCGTGCCGGGCCTGAGCACGGCAGCAATGTTGAAGTGTGACACAGCTGGCGCCGCCTCTGCCTGCCACGACTTGCTGCCACGTACCCGCGCCCCGCCGCCAGTGCTGCCAGGCGTGCTGCCCACCCCCGCCCGGCCAGTGTTGGGCGGCAGCGAGCAGGTGCTGGCGGGTGAGCCGCGCAGGCTGCCCAGGCTGCCCACCGACTTGATGCCGGGCGTGCTGCCTGGCGGGCGGTGCCGCCGCCGGTCGGGCAGCGTGGCATCTGCCGCCAGCGCCTGTTCATAGTCGGCTGCAGGGCAGGCAGGGCAGGGGGGGATGCGGCAGGGTGGTGGGGCTCCATGTAGCAACACAGCAGGGTGCACAGCGGCGCAGGCCACGCAAGGAGCGCAAGCAGCAGGTGCCAGGCCGCCGCTGCCTCACCGTTGGCCTCGTCGTACCGCCCCACCAGGCTGTTGCACGCGGCGCGCGAGTATGCCGCCTTGGCGTGGTTTGGGTCCAGGCGCAGCACCAGGCTGAAGTCGCGAATGGCCTGCTCCGTGCTGCCCAGCTGCTGGCACACCGCGCCGCGCTGGTAGGCGGCGTCTACGTGGCCGGGCTCGTGCCGCAGCACCGCGCCGTAGTCGTGCAACGCAGTCTCCAGCAACCCTGACACGTGGTGCGGGTGGCGGTGGGCCAGGTGTGAGAGGAGGGCAGGCTGGGGTGCAGGCGGCAGCAACAAATGGCGAGCACCAGGCCGATGGCCGGCCAACCGACATGGCCAGGCGGCGTGCATGGCCGCCGCACCCTTCTTCCTGTAGCTGTTGGCCCGGATCATCAGCGCCCGCACGTTGTTGGGCTGTGCCACCAGCTTGCGGCTGCAGGCCTCTATGAGGCTGTCGTAGTCGGCATTCTTGCGGTAGACGTATTGGCGTCGGGAGGAGGCTGCCGCCGCCGCCTCGCCCGTGCCCCGCCGTGCCAGCGTGCCGCTGGCCAGGTACTCGATGTCATCCGCCTGTGGCGCTGGCTGCTGCGGCGGCGTCACCTCCATTCGTCAAGGCCCCCCAGCCGCGGGGGAGGCCAAGCGACTCGCCCCTCGTCGTAGCTGTTGTCGGTGGGAGTCGGCTGCGCCAGTCCAGGCCCCTCCAGCCGCTCTACTGAGTGCAGGACTGGCAACACGGATTGAGCACGGGGCTGGGGCGGGCCGCGGACGGGAGGTGACTGTGCAGCGACCGACCAGCAGCTCCAGCTAATCTCCCTGCTCCTCAATAGCCCAGATTGAGAGGCGAAGCAGCGGATGCAACGACGAGCTGGGGCAAATAATGATGGGGGTGACATGGCGTGACAGATGACAGGCGCAGGCAGGCACGGTCAGGTGCGCGCACATGCACGCTGTACATGATCCCATGGCTCTGCACTTTCGAGACACGTGCACGCTGTGAAAGAGAGCAGCTCCCCTATGCCAGCGGCATTGCAACTGGCCAGGCCCTCCCAACTCTCATGACGCTCGGCAACAGCCGTTGGCTCACTCGTCTCTTGCCATCGATATCACGATTGTCATCAACATGCCTCCCTGTTGTGGAATGGCGAAGCCTGTCATCTTCCCGGCGCTGCCGATGGCCAGATCAGCAAGATGAACTCGCCACGCTTGTCGAGGTGGCTGGTTAACGACGTGCTGCTGGCGGCGATTCTCTGCGGCTACAAGGGTGTTTGCGCTCGCGTTTGCACTGAATGTTTGCAAGGGATCTGCTGACCGCAAAGTGTGACAAACCCTCAGATGGCGCATGAGGAAATGCAGCCGGCGGCGCAAGCAAAGCGGCGTTGGCGGGAGGTGGAAGGCAGGAGGGGTTCGGTCGATCGGCGCTGTCTTTTGGGATTGTTTCTGGTCGGCGCGTGTGAAGGGGTTGCAGGCGACGTATGATTTAGACTGGCCTGGTGGTGGGAGTAATGCGGTCACACTGTGCTTGCCGAGCAGCCTCGCAGGTGCGCTGCGCTCCTGTGCATCAGTACACGCTGTGAGCGTGATGATGCCAGCCGCCCGGCTCCGGTGGTGCAGACGGCGCTGCTGCCGCCGCTCCGCGCGGCCGCCGCTTCCGCTGCGCGTGTTCCTGCCACCACGCCGATTGAACCATGCCATGCCATCTAGCTGCTGGATGGCTAAGCTGCTTGCCGGATTTCCTGCCCTGGTGCAGGCACAATGGCGCCGAGCGCCCGCCAGCACCACCCGGCGGCGGCAAGGGCCGCCACGCAGGCTGTACTCCAGCCCCGGCAGCGGCAGCAGCACAAGCACCGAGGTCACGGAAGGCGGCAGTCCAGCAGCAGCAGGATCTTCTGCTAACGAGCAGCAGGCGCAGCCGGCGGCGGCGCCGCTGCAGCTGACCGTCAGCCTGGCCGGCGGCATGGAGCACGTTTCCAAGGAGGAGTGGGATGCGTGCGCCACGGCCGGCGGCGAGGTCAACCCCTTCCTCCTGCACGACTTCCTGCACGCACTGGAGGCCAGCGGCAGCGCCGTCAAGGAGGAGGGCTGGCTGCCGCAGCACGTGCTGGTGCGGCGGGGCGACAGCGGCGAGCTGCTGGGCTGCTGCCCCATGTACTTGAAGGGGCACAGCTACGGAGAGTACGTGTTCGACTCCAGCTGGGCCAACGCCTATCACCGCATGATGGGGCAGAACTACTACCCCAAGCTGCTGGTGGGCGTGCCCTTCACGCCCGTCCCCGGCCAGCGCCTGCTGGTCAAGGCGGGGCCGCACGCAGACGCGGTGCGGGGCGCGCTGGCCGACACGCTGAAGCAGGTGGGGCTGGCTGGGCGGGTGTGGCTGCTTGCAAGGCGCGCGCGCGCAGCAGTTTCAAGCATGCGAGGTGTGCACCTGGCAGCTGCTGGCAGCCGCCGCGCCTCAGCTGGCCGACGTGGCTGCCCGCCTCCCTGCAGGTTGCCGACCAGTTTGGGGTCAGCTCGCTGCACATCAACTTTGCCACGCAAGAGGAGTGGGGGGAGCTGGGCGCCAAGCACGGCTACCTGCAGCGCACAGGGCTGCAGTACCACTGGTACAACGGCGACATCACCAAGAGCATGCTGGCCAGCGCCGGCAGCGGCGACAGCTACGACGACGACGCCTTTGCACACGCCAACCCCTACAGCAGCTTTGACGACGCCGGAGACGAGCGCAGCTTCCTCATGAGCCTGCGCCAGTCCAAGCGCAAGAGCATCCGCCAGGTGGGCCAGTGGTGGGGGCGTGCTTGCTTGCTTGCCAGCTGGGATCAGGATCGCGAGCTGATCAACTGCTGCTCCTCCAATGCCAGCCCCCTGGGCATCCACCGCTGTGTGTAACCAGCCGTCAGTCAACCCCCTGCTGCTGCTGCCGCTGTGGCGCAGGAGCGCAAGAAGGCGGCGCAGGAGGGGCTGCGCTTCCTGCGCCTGACGGGGGCTGACATCCAGCCCCGCCACTGGGACGCCTTCCACAGGTTCTACCTCAACACCACTGACCGCAAGTGGGGCAGCGCCTACCTCACCCGCGACTTCTTCTCGCAGCTGGGCGAGCGCATGGGCTACCGCGTGCTGCTGGTGCTGGCGGAGACGGCCGACGGCGCGGCGGGGCACGGTCGGCCCATCGCCGGCGCGCTCAACCTCATCGGCTCGCACGCGCTGTTTGGGCGCAACTGGGGCTGCCTGCTGGGCGACCGCATCCCCAACCTGCACTTTGAGCTCTGCTACTACCAGGCGTGTGGGGGAGGGGGGCCGGGTGTGGTGGGAACTGAGTGCATCAGCCGGCACATGGCGGCAGCGGACGCCACCCCCAGCCGCCACAAACCTCCCTCTTCTCTGCGCACCTCCGTGATGGCCCGCAGGCGCTGGAGTTTGCCATTGAGCGCGGCCTGCAGCGCGTGGAGGCGGGGGCGCAGGGCGAGCACAAGCTGCAGCGCGGCTACGTCCCCTCCCTCACCCACAGCCTGCACTACCTGCCCGACCCGGGCTTTGCCGGCGTGGTGGACCGCTACCTGCAGCAGGAGCGGGCGGAGATGGAGTACACGCTGAGGATGCTGCGGTGCGAGGCGTCGCCATACAAGCAGGCGTGAGCTGGCTGGAGGCGCCCCCACCCAATCTGATCCATCCCTCTTCCTCTCCCATAACTCTCTTGCATGCCGTCTCATCAGCATTTCGTCTCATCAGCATTTCGTCTCGTCAGCATTTCGTCCCTTGTCTAAGGGCCCCCATGTACCCTCTGTATTTGCACCGCGCCAGGGTCGGCTTGCCGGCCTCGTTCAGCATGACCAGCTGGGCTGTCCCCTTCTTTAGTTGTTCGGATTGCCCTTTTTGTAACTAGCACTGTCTGGTTCAGTGCGCTTTTAAACATCTACCTGGGCAGAGCGCCGGCGCCGCAGGGAGGTGCGGCATACCGGCACTGGCGGCTGCACCTTTGCCCTCGTGCGGCTGTCATGTGACTGGTGCTGATGGCCCACAGACACGGCTTCCAACTGCCATCTGGGCGCCATCGCGCCTCTGCTGGCCCCATGCAGCCCTGCTATCCACTCACACCACAGCACAGCAGGATTGGGTTGCACTTTGGCTGCCTCCATTTGGGGCCCGCCTGTGCCAGCGTAATCTGTGATATACACCAGATTGTTTCACTGCATCCTAGGCGGGCAGAGCACAGTCGGGAACCATGCAGTGCCTCGCTGTCGGCGGCAAGCTGCTGGCGCGCGGCCAGCCTCGCCTGGCGGCCCAACTGAGCTTCCGCGCTTATGTGGTTGTCCCCAGGGTGTCTGCCGCTGGGCTCAGCGACCTGGCAAAGGTGCGGGGAGCCGCCTTGTGCCGCCCTGCGCCCGACACAGCCCTTCCGCGACACCCTGTAACCCACAACTTTGTTCGTTGCCGTGCAGGTTGCCCCCAGCAGCAGGTGGGTGGTGTCATTGTACATGCGTGCGTTGGCCAGCTTTTAGTGGCTGAGGAGGGCTTGTTCCACGCCTGAGATGCTGCTGCGTGCAGGGGAGGGCGGCAAGCCGCGAAATGCCGCGCAGCGGTCACGCTGGAGACCCCCACTGCACAGTCGACCGACTCCGCCGGGCGGGAGGTGCGTGCTGCCGGCTGCGGGGGCCTGTGCTGATCTCTTGACAGGCTGTGCTGTGCCGACAGTGGACTGGCTGGACTTGCAGCCAGGGGCAGGCTCCCCCTCCCTCGGCGCTCAACACCCGCGCCTGCCCGCTGCCGCCCCGCCGCCGCCGCCCGCCCGCAGGTGCGCGTGCGCTTTGCGCCCTCCCCCACCGGCTACCTGCACGTGGGCGGCGCGCGCACAGCGCTGTTCAACTGGCTGTTTGCCAAGAACGTGGGGGGCAAGCTGATCCTGCGGGTGGAGGACACGGATGCGGCGCGGTCCACCCGGGAGTCAGAGGAGGCGGTACTGACAGACCTCAAGTGGCTGGGCATCCACTGGGATGAGGGTGGGTGCGCCTGCCTGGCCGGCTGCCTGCCTGCCTGCCTGCCTGGCTGGGGGGCCGTGTGGAGGGCTGCCCGCACATTGCGAGGCAGCGTGGCCACGTGCGGCACGCAAGCCGGCGGCGCTGGGGCTGACGGCGGCATGTGGTGTGCTTGGCGGCGGGTGCAGGCCCCGACGTGGGCGGCCCCCACGGGCCGTACCGCCAGAGCGAGCGCAAGGAGCTGTACAAGCAGTACGTTGACCAGCTGGTGGAGGCGGGGGTGGCCTACCCCTGCTTCTGCACCGACGAGGAGCTGGAGGCGATGAAGAAGGATGCAGAGGTGCGGCGTGTGTGTGTGTGTGTGTGTGGGGGGGGGGGGGGTCCAGCGTGTGTGCCTGGTTGTGCCAGCCTGCTGTGGCGCGTCAATGGGCAGATGAGAGCGTCGGGGAGCTGCCCACGTGGCAGCCTCGAGCTCGTCATCACGCCGCCGCCGTCCCCCCGCGCCCAGCCGCCGCCCGCCCACCCCGCCCTTGCCCACCCCTCCTGCGCTGCGCAGGAGAAGAAGCTGCCGCCCATCTACCGCGGCAAGTGGGCCAGCGCGAGCAAGGAGGAGGTGGATGGCATGCTGGCGCGGGGCGTGCCGCACTGCTACCGCTTCCGCGTGCCCAAGGGCGAAGTGGTGCGCATTCAGGACGTCATCCGCGGCGAGGTGTCCTGGTCCACAGACACGCTGGGCGACTTTGTGCTGCTGCGCTCCAACGGCCTGCCCGTCTACAACTTCTGCGTCGCCATTGACGACGCGCTGATGCGCATCAGCCACGTCATACGCGCCGAGGAGCACCTGCCCAACACGCTGCGCCAGGTGCTGATCTACCAGGCCCTGGGCTTCCCCACCCCCACCTTTGGCCACGTCTCCCTCATCCTGGCCCCAGACAAGTCCAAGCTGTCCAAGCGCCACGGCGCCACCTCTGTGGGAGAGTTCCGGGAGGACGGATACCTGGCGGCGGTAAGGCGGCGGGCGGGGGCTGTGTGTGTGTGTGTGTGTGTGTGTGTGTGTGTGTGCGCGCGCTGGTTGGTGTGGTGCATGGAATGGGTGGGCAGGACCGCGCGGGTGGGCAGCACTGCGCGGGTGGAGGCTGCGGCGTAGCAGCCGCCAGGCAGCGCGGGGCTGGCCAGCTGTCCTGGTGGAGGAGCCGGCCGGGCGCTGGTGCCGTGCAGCGCCGGCCATCCTGCGCCGCACGCGCCTGCCTGCCGAGCGCTGCTGCCCGCCTGCCTGCCGCTCGCCCTCGCGCCCCGCAGGCCATGCTCAACTACCTGTCGCTGCTGGGCTGGAACGACGGCAGCGAGCAGGAGATTTACAGCGTGGAGGAGCTGCAGCAGGCCTTCTCGCTGGAGCGCATCACCAAGAGCGCGGCGGGTGGGTGGGTGGGTGGGTGAGGGCAGATGTGCTGCGCGGGGCCCGGTGGCAGGCTGGCTGGCAGGCTGGCAAACCGTATGCCAGAGTGGTGCTGGGAGTGGGCTGCGAGGAGGAGGCAGTACGCAGCTGGCAGCCTTGAACCACACCCGCCGCCCCAAACCGTCCACCCTGCCGCCCCCGCACCCAGTCTTTGACAAGACCAAGTTGTCGTGGATGAACGGGCAGCACCTGCGAGCGCTGCCCGAGGAGGAGATGCGGGCGATGGTGGGCGGGCGGTGGGTGGCCTCGGGCCTGCTGGCGCGAC